GTGTAAGAAGAAGAAGTAGGCTAGAATTCCTAAGGAAGTTGCATGATATCGGCAAACAGCTTGGGAAAACTTATCACAGGAAGTCTGCCTACCTGAATATTGCCTTATCTCTCTCTCGTATGCAAACCTTCCGCACAAGCCACTGTACTGCTACCCGTCAAATCTGAAATTGCCGATTTAAAGCTAAAAGAAGAACCTGATCTATCGTTTAATAAACACAGCTGCCACGGTCCATGATCACGTTGTAACTTTCCACGGGAAAACTATCGCGATATTCAATTACACTCTTGGAACGATATTGTTAACATAGATAGTGGTGCAGTGTTATTGAAAAGGCGGCTATAGTTTTAGTTTGTGTAATCGCCTGGTTAATCATGCGCTACTATCACTACGATCCCTTTTGTCACGTTCAAAGTGATTAAAATCGTGTATTGACCAAACTAGTTTTCAGTTTTATCAATTTTCTCGTGTCACGAAAATTTGATCGTAGCAGAGAAAAAAAGAAAAGCTTTATTTGTCCATTTTTGAAATTTATTGTCACATTTGTCGTTCTATTTGAAAACTCGAAATTAGAACATGACAGTAATTGTTCGCTGTTCTATTTGCCGACTGATCGATTTGCGATTTATTTGCAGAAATCGTTTACTTTTTACGCACACAGGATTTTCAACAATACCGTATTGTGTGTGGGAACGATAAACACTCGATACCAAAATAACCGACACAGCCTACAGATAAATATTTTTTCCATTAGAGAATCTGTTTGTGTGTTTTATGCAATTTAAATTAAGCGGTGAAATGTTGAAATTTATTCGTATTTGCCGAATGAAAGTGTGATAAATATCAACAACTTTTTAAGTGATAAATATATATTTATTATTTTCTCAAATTTCCAATAGTGCTGGGATTGTAGAATTGTTAAATTGGACGATTGCAAAATTAATAATCGAAAGTTTTATTCCGAAAGGTGGAATCAAGGTTTAAAATTCTTCTTTTTTTTCTATTTCTCCAAGGGAAAAGAATATTGTCTAGGTAAAATTTCGCATGGAGAAAGTTTCTTCTTACTTAAAAAATCTGTAAAAGTAAAGGAGAAACCACCTGCGAGTGGCAACGAAAACCAAAGTTCGACAATTGGCAAGTTTCGAAAGTCGCTACGTTCCAGTAATACCAATTGAAATACCTCGACGAAAATCCATTTGCAGTATATCACAGGGCTCACATATCACGTTAAAATTATCGATATGACAGACTTGATTTAGTATACTTTAGCGGTAACAGGCACTGCAGGGTTGTCTCGCGAAAATTCAAAGAAACTGTTTTCGCATGTTAAAAAGTACGAATAAAGAACGGGAATAAAAGCACAGAAAAACATATACCAATGATAGGTTACTTTATTTTCAATCCTTTGTAAAAAAAAAAAAGAAGGAAAACACAATTATTCGATACAGAGAAATTAAGATTAAAGAAACGAGACGAAGAGAGAGAGAGAGAGAGAGAGTTATTCGACAAGAGGCTCGCTAGAAGGATGAAAGAAGAGAAAAGCCTAAAACATTCACTTAAACACCGTTTCGTACAGCATTAAGACTTTCTTGAAACATTTACACGGAAAGCTGTATTTATTCAGTCATTCGCCTGAAGTAGTTCACGGCAACTAAAAACCCCGCAAGAAAACAAACCGCGAAAGAAAAAGAACGTGCAAAAGAGTGTGGTGATAGTGGCACGCGTCAGTGGATTTAATTCTAACCTCCTGTGTTAACACTGTGCACGCTTTTCATCTGGATCAAAAAAAAAAAGAAAAAGAAAGAAAAAAGAAGAGAGAAACGTTGCACACAGGAGTGGACATATAAATCTCAGGAGAGTAAGAAGAAACCAGGTAAAAGATCAACACGAGGTAGACTACTATCGGGTAGAGATTCACCAGGCCTCGTTCTCGATTTACTAGAAGCGGTGTGTTGTTCTTCAAACATACCTGAAGTTCTT